GGTTTGATTCCTGGTCTACCTTTCCAAAAACAGAAAAGAAAAATATTTATATCAGATTGGAAAAAGTATCATGGTTAGCTATGGTCACACAGGCATTGCATGTTTATAGGATGAGCTTGTAAATATGATGTGAATGCATCCCATGCTGTCTAAAATTATTTTTAAACTTGAAAGTGGAGAGAGAAAAAAAAAAAATCACCCCAAGTCACTGATTCTGTATTTCGTGAAACAGAATTAAATTGTCCAATATATTACATAAGGTAGGTCACCTAGGGACTCTTGTTCACATGATGACTTTTTAAATCTTCCACCTAATATTACGAATTTTTTTAACTCCAGGAATTTAGTGGAGATGCCAAAGCATCTTTAAGCAAAGAAGGAGTAGAAATCAATGCTAGAATTATTATTCTGAACAGGGTATTGACAGCTATAATAAAGTTATAGCAACTGGACCTAGGAATGAAAAGTCAGTTAATGGACTTTATTTAGACAGCATCAGATAAGGACATTAGTAATAACTGTTATCTTGATGGATAACCTTAAATTCAAGAAAATGTTCCCCCAAACAAGAGCTGTGGATTCCTTTTCCTTTTATCTTACAGGAGGAAGAAGATTGCAACCTCCTATTATGAAATAGCATCATAAAATGCAGAGCACAACCACCCTGACTGAAACCACCTTTCTCCTCTGCTGATACAGACAAACTAGCAGTAAATGCTTTTTGAGCTCCTGGCGTGCAGATAAATTCCTACGGACGTCCCCAATTGGACTAAGAGATTGAGAGACACAAGGGAGAGAATAGCTGAGACCGGGAGAATTTAACATGGCAATTAGCAACCCTTTGGCTTTGCTAGACCCTGGAGCACAAGACAGGATGCAAGTAACCAAAAATCTCTCCAGCAGAGTAGATGATAAATTGGTTGGGTCTCAGGGGTTTCTGGACACAGTTATTATCCAAGGGCAGGACTGGATGGTGTGCAAGTCTATGTAGTGAGGTCAGAACATGAAACAGGGCTTTAAATTCCCAAGGAGACCTCCTTTACTTATGTCACAATTGGTGTATCCTCTCCCCTTATTTTGGAGGGCTTCAGATTATATCACGTAATCTGTATTGCCTCCTCTATCAGAAGAAATGACTTACGAAGTATCAACTATATAAAACAATTGTTGCCCTTATCGCCAGTGAGTCTGTCCTTGAAAAGTTAAAAAAGTAAAAGACAAAATTGAAAATGAAAATGTTTAGAGACTCAGATTACTTTTACACAGAGGGAGGGTGTGTGGGGAAAGAGGAATCTTCATCCTCCCTCTGTATCAATACTGCTGGCTGCTTTTAGGCATTATTTTAACCATCACCTATGGTTCATAATAATGTTAGCACTGTATTGAAATGCACTCTATATTTCTGAATTTCTTAAGATCTCAATTTTTTCATCGGAAAATTGGGACTAAACTAATATTATTAGTTATTTACCACATTATTATAATAATTAAGTGAATTAATACATGTAAAATGATAAAAGATTGCTTGGCACCATGCAAGTTCTCAGTGTGTTAGCAGGAATGATGATGATGATGGTGATATTGAAAAAGAAAAAGATAATGAGGATGGTAATGATGGTAGTTTTTGAATGTAATTTCTAGCTAGGTTTTATAATCCTTAGAGCAAAGACCATAGCTGCCTTGTTTATAGCTCAAACCTCAGTATCTGCGCATTTAATATTTATTGATTGACAGAATGAATGGTTACATGAGTTTTTAAATCTTGAATTCCACACTTGTGTTACTATTGATTTAACTTAATTATGAGGATTATTAGAAGTCATTAAAAGAAAGTGGTAAATGGAATAGTAAAATCAATATCATTGGGATACATTTATTGAGGGACTACTGCATGTAGAACATAATATTTAGAACATCAATTTGCTATGGATATAAGAAAAAAAGAAAATATAGGGCTAGCCCAACATGAAGATGATTTTCTAACTTGTATTATGAAAGGGCCATGTGAGAATTCTACAGCCATTTCAATTCTATTTTTATCCAAATTTCTAATACTACTCAAAACGTCAATGTCAAGGGTCTTTCTCTTCTCTTCCATCCCTCTCTCTCTCCCTGAGTCTTTTTCCTTCTCCCTTTCTCTCTTTCTCATTTTCCCTTACATCTCTCCCCACTCCCTCCTCCCTCTGTCCTTTCCTCCTTCTCTCTTTGTCTCCCTTCCCTCCTCTTCCTCTTTCTTTCTTTATTCCTCCCTTCCTTACTACTTTCCTCTCTTAACATCTTTTTTTTTTAATTTTTTTTTTTTTAGAGGATTTTGCCTTAGGGTTTGTGTGATTACCAGAGAGAAACAAAGACAGTGAGAGAGAAAGTGAGAAATCACCTCCTGACTGGGAAGAGGGGTGGAGGTGTGGGGGGTGAACCTGACCACACCACAATTCCACAATTATAATCCCTTCTCCTTCACTTGCTTCCCAGGATCTTGGACACACATGAACATGCCCAGCATGAGTTTCAAGTCACCAGGTCCAGGACTTGAACCACGGTAGGCTATATGGGAGTCCAGCAATGTTACCACTGGGCCATCTGCTGACCCGCTCTCTCAGCATCTCTAAATGCCACATCCTTACAGGTCTTCAGTTAAAAAAAAAAAAAAAAAGTTTGGCAAATGTTA